ATTTCTATTTTGCAGTGTTTTTTTTGAAGTATTTATTAATAAATAAGAAGCAACTTGTGAAGATGTTATTTTTGGATGACCAAAATAAGATTGGTAAGTTTCATTATCAATTTTAGGACAACTTTTTAAATGTAATTTACATTTGTTAAGAGCTTTATTACAAGTATGAGGACAATATTTACATTTAACTCTTGGTTGTTTAAATGGTGGAACTATATCAAGATCAGTATAATGAAGATAAACTAGACCCAGATTTTGTAGCATTTATATGTAAATTAAAGAATGCCAAAAATTTTAGAAAGTATTTAAAAATTTTTAGCAGTCTTCCAGTGTTTTTTTTTTTACAAAAAAATATATATGTTTTACAAGATTTTTGTAATACATATATGTATAACAAATTAGAATATAAAAGATTTTGGTGTAAATTAAGATTTGTATTTGTGTTATAGAAAAATTCTAATTCGAGTTAGACAGACTATCAATTCTTGACCTTGTGATCCAGATCAGATTAATTTAACATTTATTAAAATATTTATTATACTTATTTTATATTTTAATTTTCCTATATAAAATCTTAATATGATAAAATGCGCATAATTCAGAAACATGTGCATGATTAAGAAATCATATATATGAATGAAACCTATCTCTAATCAGGGCAGTTGCATGAGAAGCAGTTATGGGATATAAATATAGAGGGGTATATAGAGTGAAGATATACATGTATTAGGAGAATGTTAAAAAGCATTTTAATTTTAAAAAATTTTAAATAGTTTGTTTAGAGTTTGTAAAGTTGTATGATACTTTTTAGTTGTTATTGAAATATAGCTATGAGGCTTTCTAGTCAATTAAGTGAGAAAAGTAAGATTATTTATGAGCATGATGTTGTGAGGACTACAAGGCAATATTTTGAGCTTTGCAAATAGATTTAATAATTGTCTAGTAGAGCTTTCAATAGAACTTTTGTTTCATTGCAAAATAGAGAAAAGGTTATACAGATTAGTATAATTAAAATATAGAGTTAGTAAAATAGAGTGGTTGTTTGCAAGTAAATCAATAAGGTTGTTAAAAGAGTTGTCAGAGTGGGCTTGGACTTTGTAGAAAGTGAGTTAAATATTGAAAAACTTGAGAATATTAAGAAGTGTATACTAGATAGGCTAGGTATTAAACTTAAACTGTTTTAAAGACTGAGATAATAAAGCTTGATGTTTGTTATACTTAGAAATAACAGATTGTGAGTTAGTAAAGTTATCAGTAGTTGAGTTGTATGGGAGTGTAAAAATAGCTGATAGTATTGTGAGTAGTTCTGCTTTATATAAAGAGGGCCAGTTAAAAATTTGAGCAGAGAAGCTATGGGTAACTTTGTTATTATCGACTTGAACCCAGCCAACACCCATTGAACATTGGTTAGTGCCAAGTTGTTTGATAGAACTATCAGTATAGAAGGTAAAATAATGTTGGAATAAGTTAGATAATGAATCATAGTAAGCTTTGCAAAGACGTCACTATTATGAATGATAGTGAGAATAGGAGAGTTAGTTATATTAATATTAATAGCAGGAGGCAAAGATAAGCTAGTAGAATGTTTTATTTTAGTAGAGCAAATAAGATCAATATAGTTGGCATTGAAGTTGAGTTGTTTATTAGCTTTTTTTCTTCCCAAAAAATGGGTATAAAGAATAGCAGATACTTCTAGAGTATAGCAGCTAGATTTGTGATTTGAGTTGAGATTGCAACCTTTACAAAGAGTGCAGAAGATAGGAGGTAGAGGATAACAATAGGGAGTAGAGGTATCAATATTATGTTGCTAGTGTGTTATGGATATAGTGTTAGTGTAAGTAAAGGTTTAGCGAATTTGTCTGATAATAATATCTTCATTATAAAAAGTTAAAACCCAGGGTTTGTGAGATTTGGAAAGAGTGTTAGTTTAGTAAACAAATTGGTTAATGCCTGTAGGTTGAAGGTGGGGTAAAATGGTGTGATGATAGTTGTTTTCAAGAATAGTATCTTCTAGATAAGTAAACCAAAGTGGTTTTTTGCCGGTTGGAATATGTAGAAGTCTGGGAGATAGATATGACTAATCAAGAAGGGTATTGTTATCTGATGAGCAATGTTGCTCGAGATAAAGTATGTTTTTGTACCAAAGTTGTTGTTTAAAAGTGTTGTATTTGGGGTGGTTTGATAGAGTATTTTTAAGAGGTGTATTATTGTCATTTATAGTTTTGGGTCAGGATGAGTTGGAGAATGCATGTATT